CCCTGGTTATGCATTTGGCCCCTTTGCTTACAGCGAAGTCTTATCGTGGTTTTGTGTGGAAGGAAGATTGTCATGTCATCCGTGACCTTTCTGTGTAAGCACAGCAAAGGAGTACTCCAGTTCCTTTGTGTATCTTACTTGTCATGAAGGATCTGCACGTGCTGCTCCCCAAGTATCTGTCAGTGGCATTCTTTGTTGCTTCAAAATGTTCCAGTACTTGTCTTGCCACTTACCTAAGACCAAAACCAGGTTTAGAGATAAGCCACACTTCATACTTCGTATTCATAGAATAGTTTAAAGACAGGCTAGTAATCTTTGTTCTTCAGGTGTCTGTATCTCAGAGAAGATGATGTCACAGAAGGCAACTGCACGAACGAGCTGCTTAAAAATGCCAGAGAGAAAGTAGAGGAGTATTTTGTAGCCCCACCAGGTATTGTCTTGCTTATAACAACCTCTTAATTTTGCTTGAATTAACCTGAGGAACGTAACCCACCATTGCTGCATTTACTTTCAGAAATACTAGCTAGTAACAAGGAATTACTACAATAGATAACTAGCCATCTGTATAGAACAGTCTGCAGTCTATTGGTTCAAAAGCAGTACAGAAGCTAACCTTACTCTAAAGTTACTGCACATGTTGAACGATTATTTACAGGAATTCAGAAAGGACTTAGTTTCCTTACTTGTGCAAGAAATTTAAGCTGCCTGTACGTGCTTAGAATAAACTGGAGAAGCGCTTTTCTGCTAAGCTGTACCACCGAGAAGGTACCTTTACAGCTGGTCTCACGCAACTTTCTGTTTTCTATCAGGTAACATCCCGTTACCAAAGCTAGAAGAACGAGAGACTTTTCTGCAGCGCTCTTAGCGACAGCCCAGGAGCCAAACGCCATTTTGGTATTTTATCTGGGAAAACTAAGGTTTGTGCAGTCACAGCTGAGAAACCCTGACATGCATTTTGATCGAAAGAAGAGCGCTTGCAAGACAATTTGCAGAAGGAGGAAGGTGTAAAAAGTTTAGTAGTGCTACTGAAATATTCAAGGTTATGATGCTGGAAGGCAGCATGACAGATGACCTTTGTGCTTTTCTTCAGCACAGTGAATTTGATATTATTCTTTAAGATACTGAATGGCTTAAAGGCTTTAAAGAGAACATGAAAAGGAGATGATTAAAAACCCCAGAACACTATATTTTTCCTCCACAAGTTTGACAGGAAAACAAGGGAGGTTGTAAAGCTGTATTTGCCTGTTTCTCACCTCTAGCTCGACTCTGGCTCTGAGCCTGTCAAAAGTAACAAAGTCTGGTATGGAAGAGTCTGTAACATTGCTGAATAGCTCTTTGACATACAGACAGAACTCAGATTTTCATTACGGAAGAAAAGGCACTTTGAGAAGATGATTCACTCAAATATTTTGCTTCTGGTGAATATTTCTATTTTATCTCTGTGTTCCACATCTGTATGGGTTACCTTCTATGTCCCACTTTGTATTTTTATTGTCACAAATTAAATACTAGGAGTTGTTCATAATTTGAGAAAGAACTTTTCATACAGAGAAATAGCTTCTCTAAAATTAAAAATATTTGCCATAAATATTTCTGTATACCAGACGTGTATCTCTAGTGATGCTAGCCATATTTCCTGGAATAAACCATTTTTCTGTTTCAAACAAAACATTGCAGTTGTTTGTGTTATTTAAAATATCCTGTGTGGCTAAGTTTGTTGTAAATAAAGAATGTAATTACTTGTGAACTTGGCATTTTGTTCTGTTGGCACAGTGAACTAAATATGCACTGTAACGGTTACTTTTTGTTGGAACAGGTTTTAGAAATACAATTACCCTAGTACCCTTTAGTGTGGCAGACAGACATTGCTATCGGGAAGCTAGCAACAGCTTTATTAGAAGAAGCAGTAACTTTTCTTCCTCAGTGGTGCCCTGTCCACATACAGATTTAAGAATCCAGATTTATTTATTACAGTTTTCATGATCTTTTCTACTGCATAGACTTACATCCTGAGCCACAGCGGAATATTCTTTGGAAGTGCTAGAAAAGACCCCGTAAGTTACTGTAACAGGATACTACTAATCACTGGTTCTGAGTCTGCTCTTACAGTTCTTGAGAGCCTGACCAGAGTAAGAAGGTAGGCTCCTCCATGACCATGCAGGCACATGCTTCCCCTGAGAGCAGAAACTTGCCTCAGGAGACTGTAACTTGATGTCATCCAGCTTACACAGTGCACGTTCTGTATCTTTTTTTCAGAGAAAAGCCATTCCCATTCTGTCTTCCTGTACATCTGCATAATAAATACCACCAGCTTGGTGCATGTGTCCCTTCAGGTCCTGCCAGCTGTCTGATAGAGAAAGTCCCAAGCATGGCCATAACAACGATTTCTCCTATGAACTACATCTTCCACATCCCTGCAAACAAGAGGTAACATAAATCTGAGATTAATGATATACATGCGTTGTTTCTTAACATCTCAAAAGTCCACCAAGCATATTAGAAGTATCATAATTTGAAAAACACTGAAAAAAATACTGGAGTTTGAACAGTACTGGTACTAGGTTCAGCCATTAGTAGCTTGCTCTTAATACCGCGTTTACAAACTGCTTTGACAAGCTCCCTCTCGGGACATTCATTATGTGCCACATATTTAATGGAAAAAACAAGGCTGAGTGAAAAGAACTACTGCTGTCTTTGCTGGTGTAAGAAATCAGAGCTACTGGGTAGGATCCACTTTCACTCACTACCCTCAAAGGCTGTACATTTGGTAAGCTTTGAACTGTTTTGTTTATGGCACTCATTTTTCATATTTCTCTGGCAGTTACTTCATTATTTGTTTAAGCTTCCATAATATATACACATACATACAAACATATATGCCTAAAACATGTAATTATTACAATACTTGAATTCTTTCAAGGGGGTTGAGTTGAAGTCTCTATTAACCCCCACTAATCCAGTTCTCTGTAAAGCTGTAACACTGCATTAGTGCTTTAGTCTCAGGATTTTCAAGATTCAGACCCTGCAAATGCTACAAGTTTTAAAAATACACAAGCTCAACCTAAAAGTCATTTATGATGCATATATCAGTCATGACAAGGGAAGATCTCAAGTCACGCCATACAATAAGCACGTTAGTAGAGAATTTCCAGTTTGAGAAATCCCCGCTTGTTCTATCCATTTTGGCTGCCTCCTTTGACTATCGGAGAGAATGGGGACAATGTTATTTAGGTAGAAAAAAGAGGAGGAATTTGAGAGTGAACTGCATGGCTGCAGGAGCTTCCAACACAATATATCATCAAGTAAGTATTTAAAAGCAACAACCAAGCCAACAATTTGGACAAAGAAATTCCCAACACAGCACAAGCTAAGCCTAAAACTGCCAGTTCACTGCTGCTCCCTTACCCACACACTCCAGTGGGAGAACAGACTGCTCTGATGCTTGTTCCCTGCAGCCCAAACTGCATTTAAAGTGGAACACAAACATTTCCTTAATGAAGGGGTTTGTTGCAGCTTCACCACTAATAAGGGAATTACAGCCCTGACTCAGACACCTGCAACCACCAGAACAGAAACCCTGGCAAAGCCTGGATGAGCTGCCTATGGGGCAGAATACATTAGTGCCTTAGCCTGCCCTTGGCATGTCTAATGTGGGTGCTGTGCCCCACGGGATGGCATGAAGCCCCTCTGGGTCCCAGCTGCACCCTGAGGTGGAGACAAGATGGTGCCAGTTCACCTGCTTTCACCACAGGGCCTCAGTGTGCAAGTGGGTCTGGATCTGGGTCAGATATTCAGAGGGTTCTGCCACAACGCCATTTATAACCCAGGCAGGTGAACAGATACAATTAACGACTCGTGTAATAAAATTGCTACCTGTAAATTCCTTGTAACTGCAGTGTGGCAAACGTAATGTATATTTGTGAGATAACTCATCTTTTCTGAGAGGTTAATAGTACAGCAAAAAGAAAAAAATCTGGTAAAAAACCCCCCAAAACACAACAAAAGGAAGGCAGATTCTGAGATTATGTAAACGTGTCCAGTTTCCCCGGAGACCATGGAGATAATTTGACTTACACCTGCTAAGGTTTTTCCACTACTATGTAGATCTGTAACATATAAAATTGAATTCAAGACCTAGCATATAGATTCCAGATTTACAAAGAGAATTTCAAGGTGTAGATTTCTCCAGTTTTATGGAAAAAAGAAAATGGAAGTTGTTTTATTGCTAATAATGATTATTTTATAATTTGGTAGTAACGAGGAGCCCCAAGAAAAATCTGAGTTAGATACAGTGATACAGTATTCAGCACAGAATAAAAAAAAAAAACCTCAGTTGAAAAGTGCTTACAATATAACCTCCATCTGCAAGAGGAATCTCATGATATGACTTATCCATTACCCAATTTTCTTCAGCACCTCCTCTACGCCAGGTGTCATCTCCTGTGTGTATTTGTTCTGCCTTCCCCTGCAGCTCTGTCCTGAGGGAAGTTATACTTTTATATTCTAGATTAACAAGTAAGACTCTAATGTTATGTTTCTGTTTAAAGCCATGTATCCCTGGCTTTAATGTTTCTCGCTAACGACGTGTATCCAACCACACTGACATTTCCTGCAGTCGTCATCACAACTGTTCCTTCAGCTAACTATTTCTTAATAAATGCGTAGAAATTTGCCTGCAGCTACCAAACACAACCACGTCCTCAGAGATTCCTGTGTGTTTCTGAAGTTCATTGTAAGCACTGGGAAGACTGTAAAATGGTTCAGTTCTGTCAGCACAAAACTGTCTAGTACTCAAAGAACCATTGCTAGTGCTGCAGATACTACACACAGTTCTGTAAATGAATTGCTTACTGCAGCCCCAAGACTATTCAAAGCTTTTTCAGGTTGCTAGCACACAAGGTCTCTTATGCCCTTTCATCTGCTGCATATAAACCAACTTCCCTTAATTTCATAACTTTCAGAGTTGTCCCTAACATACACTCCTGATGGCAAGACAAAAAGCAAAGCAGTGAATTGCATCTCTTCTAATTGGAATGCTACAGCCTGGAAGCTAAAGTCAGAAGTTATTTCTGAGATACTCTAGAGTGACAAAAGTACTACATTATCCAGTTTTGGTATTTTGGGGACAATATATTCTTCTGAGCTTGCCTCAGAGCTTGCAAAAGCAAAAGGTTCCTTGCAGTTACGCTACTTTTGCTACAAGTGACGGTGAGCAGGTAACGATACTGTACTAACATGAAAAATATTTGCATTTCAAGTGAGGTGGATGACTGCTTTTGATTTTTTGATTTCTGCAAGGAAATGGCAGTCCTACCAACCAGTATTTGAAAACCTCTTTCAAGTCATTCTGGGCTGTTTGCTATAGACATGGTTCAGAGTCCTGTTATTAACAGATCACCAGCTATGGAAGACTCAACAGCAATTTTCTAGCTGCTGACAAGAGTATAAGCAGAAAGTGCCCCAGGGAGGGTGAAACTAACAGAAGAGAGCACCGGGGATCTCCCAGAACACCTTGCTTCATTAAAGAAGGAAGGAAAAAAAAAAAAAAAAAGGCAGGCAAGAGTTGCAGAAATGGTGAGGTCTGCAAAAGATGCCTAAAATGAGGTGTAAGAAGTCTGATGGATTCAGTTCACTGAAGGACAAAGTTTAGAGCCAGCTTCATCACACTTGATAAACATGGGTAAAGAAATTTCTATCAGAGGTCACTTAGTCTGAAAGACAAATTGCAAACAGACACATGAAAAGGAAAGATGATCAAGTGCCATTTATAAGCTATGGAACTCCTTCCTCTGACATGGTTGGGCTTTCCTCTCAGTAAGGGGCATCTTACTGAACGAGCTATCCCAGTTCAAAGCGAAACAAGGGCCTGCTGCAGAGATTACTAGGCTAAATGCGGCGTTTGTGATCTGGGTTGAGGTGAGTACTAACATGGCTTCTGGGGCTCACGTACCAACTATGCAAAGGTGTTTTACAGAAGCCAGCGGACATACTTTAAGAAACAGGTGTTTTGGCTCAGAACCACTAGACAATGCCAAAGGCAAGTAGTACAGGAGCCAGGACCAGAGGCTTCCCATACACAGCTGAAATCTACATTAACATCCCC